TAACAGTTTTATCAAAACAATGATAGTATATACGTGTGACAGAGAGAGTTCTAAACGCACACACAGACACACGCATATATTTTATTTTTTAACTAATATATATATATATATATATATACTAGGTTAAAAACCGCCAATTTAAGCTGGCTCCTGCGGAGAGTTCTTGATTGGGCCTATATATATATATATATATATATATATATATATATATATATATAAACCCAACCTAGTGTGTGTGTGTGTGTGTGTGTGTGTGTGTGTGTGTGTGTGTGTGTGTGTGTCTGTCTGTTTCGTTTATATATTGGATCGGATTTCCTACATTTTCAACCGATTTCAACAAAACTTCACAGGACTACGTAAAATTACCGTGCGGTGGTTCTGACAGCGCCAAAAATTGGAAAAACACAATTGTTTTTGCACGAAATCAATTTTAAAACACGATTAAAAGGCATCGCTGTCGAGAATGAAAGGGGGACAACTCATATCGAGTTATACTTATTATAAAATCCAGGTTGTTTGTGAGTGTGTGTCTGTGTTCGTTTATATATGGGATCGGATTTCCTACATTTTTCAACCGATTTCAACAAAACTTCACTTTTATTTTGGCAGGTAGTGTTTCTTATTGTGTTGCACACTTTTGTCTTTATTTTTACATTCAGAATGCTTTAAAAATTCCATTTACAAGACAATTGTTTATCATAAAATTCTATTCAATCGGTAGACTCATAACGATTGAAAACAATGCTTTTGCTTGAGTTTCGGTTTGACCAATTCGTAAAAAAAAAAAAAAACCAAAAAAACAAAGCAAAAAAAAAAAAACTAATTAAGACATGCGTGTCCGTCAACCTTAAACAATAATCTTTGTCAATTTTATTTTTCAGTCTTTATGATGGTCGATACTTGATCTATCTCTTACTGTTACATTCCCGGGCAACGCCGGTCTCTACTGCTAGTATAAATGTGTGTGTTTGTGCGCGTGTGTGTGATATTATTTCAGAAAATGCTCTGTTTTTTTCTTCTTTTACATTTTAATAAAAAAAATATTTTTTTACATTTACCGGCCTGAACGTTCAAGAAATTTCGTAAAAAATATCTACTTATGCGACAGGAATCGATTGACATTAGGGTTACACGTTCGATTACTCGCGGAAAAGCACATATTCTCTAAAAAACAAAAAATAAAACCAGAGCATTCACTTAATAAATTATATCAACAATAAATTATATATATAAAAATAATGTAAAACGGAATATATATATATATATATATATATATATATATATATATATATATATACACACACACACACACGTTTCTGTGTGTATTTATATTATTAAGTTTCTACGTACTTGAAAATGATATATACGCCACAGTATCTACATAATGAAGTATATATATATATATATATATATATATATATATATATATATATTGTGTGTGTGTGTGCGTGTGTATTGACTGTTTCATGCTAAACGCAATCTTCAATATATATATATATATATATACATATATATATAAACTTATATATATACATGTAGACATATACATATACACATACATATAGAAATACAGATACATATATACATATATATATATATATAAATATATATACATGTATATATATATATATATATATATATATACCCATACATATACATATATATGTACATATATATACATATATATATATGCATGTACATGCATATACACACACACACGCACACATATATATATGTGTGTGTGTGTGTCTGTATGAATATTAGTGTGCGTGCAAGTTTTGCAGGTGATTACATATATGTTACATTGTTTATCGAATGCTCTCTCTCTCTCTCTATTTATATATGTGTGTATGTGTGTGTGCGTATGAATGTGTGCTGATGCATGTCTATATTATTATGAGCTTATACATACGCGAAAATGTCATGTACGTCACTACATCGACATTAAAACACACACGCCCACTTATACTTATGTATATAAGTGTGTTTTGTGCAACTATATGTCTCGGATTCGATATCTTGTATAAATATATATATATATATATATATATATATATATATATATATATATATGTGTGTGTGTGTGTGTGTGAATATGAGTATATGTGTTTTGTGTTGCACTGTACATATACAGTTTATATATATATATATATATATATATATATATATATATATATATATTCACAAGCTTCATATAATTATATGTCTTCAGAATCACATATGAATAAATAATGTGTGCGAGTGTGTGTGTGTGCGTGTGTGTGCGTGTGTTTATAAATGTTGTTTCATGCCTGTTTATGTGTCAATATTTATAAAATGACGTAAATAGACGTGAGTACAGTGATTGTCGCAAGTGTCTGGTTGCTAGGTAACGAACTCCAATCAACTTCGATACAAAGAGTATCAAGGAAACAAACACTTTTCAGTGTGTATATCAGGTGTGAAAGAAAAAAGAAAGAAAGAAAGAAAAAGAAAGGAAGAAAAAAGAAAGAACGAAAAAAGAAAGAATACAATATGGTGAATTATTGCGAAAAACTGAAATGCACTAAAAAAATGAAAGACAAATGATAAAAAAAAGAAAAAAAGAAAGAAAATGAATTGGGAGATGAGGAATGTATCAGAGCAAAGAAAGAAAAAAGAGGGAGATTAAATACGTATCAGAGCAAAGAAGAACAATATGAGATATTTATCACAGCAAAGAAAGAATGACGCTCTTTTTTTTTAATATTTTCTCTTTCTTTCATTCCTTCTTTCTTTGCTCTGATACATATATCATCTCCCTATTCTTTCTTCCTTTCTTTCTTTCTTTCTTTCTATGATATATATATATCTTCTCCCTCTTCTTTCTTTCTTTCTTTTCTTTCTTTCTTTCTTTCTTTCTTTGCTCTGATACAAATTTCACCTCCCTATTCTTCTTTCTTTCTTTCCTTCCTTATCTTTTTTTTTTATATATATATATATCTTTCCCTCTTTTTCTTTCTTTCTTTTTTTCTTTCTTTTTTTCTCTAATATCTCTTCTCTTCTCTTTCTTTCTCTTTCTTTGCTCTGATCTTTCTTTCTTTTTCTTTCTTTCTTTCTTTTTTTTGATATATATATTTCTTCTCCTATTCTTCTTTCTTTCTTTCCTTTCCTTTCTTTCTCTAATACATATATCTTCTCTTCTCCCTTTCTTTCTTTGCTCTTACTTTCTTTCTTTTTTCTTTTTTCTTTCTTTCTTTCTTTTCTCTTTTGCTCTTTATACATATCTCTTCTCTTTTCTTTCTTTCTTTTTTTTTCTTTCTATTCTTTCTTTCTTTCTTTCTTTCTTTCTTTCTTTTTTTTTGCCCTAATACATATCTCTTCTCGCTATTCTTTTTCCTTTTCTTTCTTTCTTTCTTTCTTTCTTGCCTGCTTTTCTTTTTCTTTCTTTTCTTTCTTTCTTTGCTCTAATACATATCTTATCTCCTTATCCTTCTTTCTTTCTTTCTTTCTTTCCTTTCCTTTTTCTTTTTTCTTTTGCTCTAATACATATCTTCTCCCTTTATCCTTCTTTCTTTCTTTCTTTCTTTCTTTCTTTCTTTTTTCTTTCTTTCTTTGCTCTAATACATATTTATCTCGCTTATCTTCTTTCTTTCTTTCTTTTCTTTCTTTCTTTCATTCTTTCTTTCTTTTTCTTTGCTCTAATACATATCTCCCTCTCTTATCCTTCCTTCTCTTTCTTTTCTTTCTTTCTTTCTTTCTTTCTTTTTTTTCTTTCTTTGCTCTAATACATATTTATCTCATCCTTCCTTCTTTTCTTTCTTTCTTTTCTTTCTTTCCTTTCTTTCTTTGCTCTAATATATATATCATCTTCTCCCTCTTTCTTTCTTTCTTTCTTTCTTTCTTTTCTTTCTTTCTTTGCTCTTATACATCTCATCTCTTCTTTCTGTCTGTCTTTTTTCATTTTTCGTTTCTTTACACATCCCATATTCTTTCTTTCTTTCCTTTTCCTTTCTTTCCTTTGCTCTTTCTTTGCTAATACATATCTCATCTCCTCGTCTTTCTTTCTTTCATTTTCTTTCTTTGATATATATTTCCTCCCTTTTCTTTCTTTCTTTCCGTCTTTCCTTCCTTTCTTTTTTTGATATATATCTCATATCTTCTTGCTTTCTTTTGCTTTCTTGCTTTCTTTTGCTTTTGCTTTCTTTCTTTCTTTTTTTTTTTTCTTTGCTCTAATACATATCTCATCCCGCTTATCTTTCTTTCTTTTTTCTTTCTTTTTCTTTATTTCTTTTCTTTCTTTCTTTCTTTCTTTCTTTGCTTGCTTACATTTTCTTTCTTTTCTTTCTTTCTTTCTTTCTTTTTTCTTTCTTTCTTTGCTCTTATACATATCTTATCTCCTTATCCTTCCTTCTTTTCTTTCCTTTTCTTTCTTTCTTTTTTCTTTCTTTTCTTTGCTCCTCATATCTTATCTCTTTCTTTTCTTTTTTTTTCTTTCTTTCTCTTTTTCTTTCTTTCTTTGCTCTTATACATATCTCATCTCTCTATTCTTTCTTTCTGTCTTTTTTTCATTCTTTCGTTGATCTGTTACACATCCCATATCTCTATTCTTTCTTTCCTTCCTTCCTTTCTTTCTTCCTTCCATTTTTCTTTCTTTGCTCTAATACATATCTCATCTCCTCGTCTTTCTTTGTTTCTTAGTTTCATTTTCTTTCTTTGATATATATATATAACCTCCCTTTTCTTTCTTTCTTTCCGTCTTTCTGTCTATCATTCTTTCTTTGCTCTGATACATATCTCACCTCCCTGTTCTTCTTTCTTTCTTTCTTTCTTTCTTTCTTTCTTGCTTGCTTGCTTTCTTTTGCTTTCTCTTTCTTTGCTCTAACATATTCTTTATCTTTCTTTCTTTCTCTTTCTTTCATTTCTTTTCTTTTTCTTTTCTTTCTTTCTTTTGCTTTTGCTTTCTTTCTTGCTTTTTTTCTTTCTTTGCTCTAATACATATCTCATCCCGCTTATCTTTCTTTCTTTCTTTCTTTCTTTCTATGATATATATATATCTTCTCCCTCTTCTTTCTTTCTTTCTTTCTTGCTTGCTTGCTTGGTTGCTTTCTTTCTTGCTTTCTTTCTTTCTCTTTCTCTTTTTCTTTCTTTCTTTGCTCTTATACATATCTTATCTCGCTTATCCTTCCTTCTTTCTTTCTTTCTTTCTTTCTTTCTCTTTTTCTTTCTTTCTTTGCTCTAATACATATCTTATCTCGCTTATCCTTCCTTCTTTCTTTCTTTCTTTCTTTCTTTCTTTCTTTCTCTTTTTCTTTCTTTTTCTGTCTGTCTTTTTTTCTTTTCTTATCTCTTATCCTCCCTTTTTTTCTTTCCTTTTTCTTTCTTTCTTTCTTCTTTTCTTTTCTTTCTTTGCTCTAATACATATCTTATCTCCTCTTTTCCTTCCTTTCTTTTTCTTTCCTTCTTTCTTTCTTTCTCTTTTTCTTTCTTTCTTTTCTTTTTCATTCTTTCTTTGCTCTGATATCTTATCCTGTTCCTTCTTTTTCTTTCTTTCTTTCTTTCTTTCTTTCTTTTGCTTTCTTTTCTTTTTTTTTCTTTCTTTGCTCTTATACATATCTCATCCTCTTATCTTTTTTCTTTCTTTTTTTTTCTTTCTTTCGTTATATATATGTTTTTCTTTCTTTCTTTCTTTCTCTTCTTTTGTTTCTTTCCTTTCTTTCTTTTTCCTTTCTTTTCTTTCTTTGCTCTATTCTCATCTTCCTCTTTCTTTCTTTGTTTCTTTTCTTTCATCATTCTTTCTTTGA